CTCTCTCGCTCTCTCGCTCTCTCGCTCACTCACACATCCCATTCCTTCAATTACTTTTCTTCCTCCCCTTCCTCCTCCTTCCGCTCTCCTCCCTTGCTCCTCATTTTCTCCATCACCTTCATCCACTCCTCTCCCTCTCCCTCTTCCCCCAAAATTTTCTCCATCATCTCCTGCCAACTCCCTACTTACTCATTACCCCCTCTCCAACATCTTTCCCAAGCATGCTCCTATATCTCTTCCTCTCCTACTCATAATCTACATCTTCTTTTCTCCTCCTCTACCCAGTACCTTTTCTCTTTCAACTTATTTCCCAATCTAAACCTAATTACTCTCCTCCACCTTTTCTCTGACCATCCTTTTTCTAAATACTTCGGTATCCTCTCCCCCTTCAATCACCTATACCACCTATTTTCTCTAGATATCCTTATCCTTTCCCACCTTTCTTCCTTTTGGTTTTCCCTCTCTCTCTCCAATAACTCCTCATACCTTACCTTTCCCCCTCCATCACTCTCCACCCCCTCATACAATCCTCTCTCTCCCTTTCCCATCTTCCCACTTTCCCCCTACTCCATCTTCCCTTCATCTCTTCCTAGCATCTCCTTGCTATCTCTCCCTCTCTTCTTTCCTCTAAACTTTCCTCAAATTTCCACGCCCTCCTCCCTGCCCTTACTCTTCTCTGTCCCTAATTCCTCCTTTACTATATATCCTGACGTTCTCCAGTCCAAACCCATGATCCATCTCAAAAACCTATCCTGCAATCCTTCCAATTCCTTTCTCTTCTTGCATCCCCAAACTTCTACTCCATAATCCATTACCGTCCAGACCAATGTATCAACTAACCACATCCTACTTTTCCAATCCTTTCCTCACACTCTTTTTCCTATTCCCCACACCTCCCTCACAATTAGCGTCACCTTCTTCCTTCTTTCTCTTATGTGCGCCTCCTGACCTCCATTCCCTGAAACTGCATACCCCAAATATTTATACTCCTTTATCTCCTCCAACTTTTTATCTTTCCACCTTAATTCCATTTTCTTTCTTCTCCCCTCACCCTTCCTGAATCTCATTACTTTAGTCTTCTCTACATTCACCTCCAATCCTTTCCTTTCTGCATACCTTTCCATCCTTGCTAACATTACCTTCGCACCCTGACCTCTCCTCCGCTAACAATACCACGTCATCCGCATACGCTAAGGTATATACTTTCCCTTCTCCCAATCTTACTCCTCCCCATTCTCCCCTTGCCATCTTCTATTCAAAATCCGACATTAAGATATTAAAGATTATCGGACTTAGCGGACGATCCTGCTTTAGACCCTTTGCCATCTAAAACTCCTCTTCCATTCTCTCTCCCACCCTCACCCTGCTTTTCGTTTTCCTTAATATCTCCTACATCTAACTACTAACCCCTCCCTTACCCCCTTTCCCTCATCATACTTATCAATTTCCCTTTATTTACCGAATCGAACGCTGCTCTGAAGTCAATAAACACTGCTACCATTCCCCCCTTTCCTCTCCAATTGTCTATTTATCATAGTTCAAAGCAAAAATATGATCCATCGTCCCTTCCCCTCTCCTAAATCCCCGCTTGACTTCCCGACAGCAGTTCCTTCCCTTCCTCTCTTAATTTCTCTGTTAACAACGCTGTATAAATCTTATACAGTGACAGCATCAAAGTTACCTCCCTATAAACTGTTACCTTATCCCCCTTTCCCTTCTTCAATATTAGAACTATACTCTCTTTCCATTCCTCCGGCCACCCTTCCCCTCTCCATACCCTCCTACATACCTCCCCTACCCATTTCTCCATTTCCTCTCCTCTATATTTCCACACCTCGGCAATTCATCCCTCCCCATTGCTTTCCCTCCTCTCAGATCTCTTAGTACCTTTCTAACTTCCTCAAATTCCAACTCCTTCTCTCCCTCCTTTTCCCTCTCCCCACTCCCCCTCATCATCCTCTCCTCTACTCTCCCCATCAACCCCATAAAATATTCTCTCCACTCTTCCATTTTTATATCTTCATTTATCTTTTCTCTTCTTTTCCTTTCCTTATTCACCAACTCCCAAACCCTCCCTTCTGTTCTCGCCTCGCCCACCTCTCTTTCAATCCTCTCCCTCTCTTCCTTTTTCTTCTTCTCACATAATTTCTTATACATCCTCTTTCTCTTTCTATATTCCTCCCTGCTCCCTTCTCCTTTTCTCAATTTCCTTAATTCAATCCTTACTCCTTTTTTCTCTTCACTGCATTCCTCATCCTACCATCTTCCTCCTTTTCCACATTGTGTTTTCAACCCCTCCTCATTTTCCTCCAGTACTACCTTTATCTTTCCTTTGTTTTACTAGTATTTTACTATGTTTTTTTACTGTGAAATAACAATAAAGACATTATTGAGTGCTGTAAAATAGCAATAAATACATTATTGAGTTATTATTTAATATATTTTGCTTCTCTTTACAACACTACGGATAGAAGAAAATATGATTCTATTTAAAAAAGCGAAGGTGACCTTGGTTTTTTTTACGAAAAAGTTATTTTCGAAATTTTTATATTGCATTTTGCTGCTGTTTAAAAATTGATTAGTTGCATAAAACTGTTCTATAACTTTTTCTTGTTCAATTATTATAATTTGTCAAAATATAGAGAATACTGTTACAATGAGCTCTATATGACTATTACAATTTGAAACCCTTTTTTGCCGAGAAAAATAATTAATGCATGTGAACAACTATTTATATTAAAAATATTTTAATATTTTTAAATGATTATTTACTTTTTTAAATTAAGAACTTATTAAAAATTTTTATGTAAAATATCAGGAATGGGAAGATAAATATGTAACTTTGTACAACATTGTATGAAGAAATTTATAACTTTTCAATATGAGATATTTTATTATATTAAAATGCTACATGTGTGTTATGCTTTGTTAATATTTACTAAAACGGATTATTTAATTGGGAATTTTCACTATTTTTATCATCATTATTTGGATTATCTACAATCTCGTCTTCAAAGTTTTCACCATTTCCTATGAATGTTTCCTCCTGCATAAAACTACATGGTAGTTTCATGATATATTGAGAAGCTTGAGTTTGAAGAAGAATCTGTGGTAAATATGAAACAGTTTCTTTATCTTCTTCATCATGAGTTTCAGTAAGTGATATATTTGAAATGCTTTTATATCTTAATGGTTCTACAGAATTACATTCTTCATTTAATTTGTCAATGTCTTTTTGAATAGATAAGCTACCATTTGCAACTTTACAATTAGAGGAAGCGATTTTCTCACAATTTGCATTAAGTGTAATATTCTTTGATGAAGTTAACCATAAATAATAAGGAGGCATTGGTGGTGGAACAGGTATAAATTGATAGTTTTTGCATATATTATTTTCATTATTCAGTGTAGTATCCTCTGATATATTTTTGTATATACGTTGTAGTGCTTTAGATTCACGTTCGGACATAGATTTTCTTTTATCTAGTAAAACCTCTTTTAACTCGCTCATAAAGTTTTTCACCAAAAGATTATCTAATTTATATTGTTTCAGTGAGTATTCGTCTTTTTCTTCATGCAAAGGTTTTAAATATTCTTCTTTAATATATTCTTCAAATACTTCGTCGAGAATTTCTGGATCTGAATTGAAAATCACAGATAAATCAGAATTCTCATCTATCTTGGTATGATTAATTTTAGGTTTATTGCCTCTCAAGTTATTAAATCCTGATTTTGCTATCAACAAAATGGTAAACTCTGCTAAATTTTTAGCTATGTTAAATTCCTTGAATGTTTTATCCAGTTTTTGCATTAGTATCTCAGCTGTTTTATCATTGATACCACTCTCCTGACTGATGCAGTCATCAATGTTTTTAAATATTAAAAACACTTGATTATAAGCCAATTGTAGTTTATGAGACGCCAAGTCCAATTGAACGGACGGATCATGCCATTTTGCTATGTCCCGTACTCTAATAAAAAGAATAAAAATCTCATGTAATATGTCACATATTTAATATAAATATAAGTATATATCTCAACTTACTTGTATCGAATAGGTTCTGCTTTGCAAGTATCATAATCATAAAGAATTTTTGACAGTTTGACTTTGTATACTGCCAATTTTTTAGTTAAAATGTAGATGATATAAGTTAGTTCTGTTTCAGGAATCTTTTGACAAGAACTTATCCAGGTATTTCTGTCATAGGCAATAGCTAATAAATGTAACATTTCCGATTGTACCAGAAGATAAGTGTGATATGATTTCTATAAAAAAGATATAAAAACATATTGTAAAAAGAATTTTACAAACATATATATATATATATATATATATATATATATATATATATATATATATATATATATATATAAAATGTACTATTTATTTACCTTTAATATCTGATAATTAATTTCGCCAAATGCACAAAATGTATTACGTTCAAATTTGGTAAATAACTCTCCATTGACTATGTCTGATGGCATTATTTTCGCAATCAATAAGGAGCATTCATAATATATATATGAAATATTTTCCATAAAACTTAGTAAAGTTTCTGTCAAAGATTGCAGATACTGCAATTTTTCTCCGAGAAAGTGACTAATACAAAAAAATAAAGAAAAAGGGATAGTTTTTTACAATTAAGATTTTGTACATTTACATATCTTAAATTACTCTTGAAATCATAAACTTACAAAAACTGTTGAACATGTGTTTTAAAACTCAATTTTATTTTCAACACATGCCGTAAGATCTTAAGACTTTTCTTACACATGGCTAAAAGTTCATTTTGCAATGATATAAGATGTTTTAAATCTTTGCTGGCACGAAAACGTAAATGTTGTATGTAACCAGTACAACAGATGACAGCTGATGTAAATAATACCGATATCTTATGTTTACTTAATGAAATATATATTGAAGAGATTAATATAACTCCATTCACAATTAAATCTTGCAGCATTATTCTAAAAACAAAACAAAAAATGTGTATGTTAATTTGGCATTTGCGTAATTTTCATTATTTATAATAAGATTGAATTACATATAACATAAAAAATTCACTTAAAATATTTAGTTTCCCTTTCTCTGTATAAATTTTATCAATATATTTTATAAATAAAAAAACATAGATATAGAAGTGCTTTAAAAATAATAAAAAAGACTTTATAATAATTACTTTTTAGAATCATTACTGCATTTAATTAGAATATTATTAATCATAGAAGAATGATCATTTAATAGAACTTCTGCATTCAAAATAATGCTTAATTGATTCCTAGAAATGTTTTTTTCCTGAAAAAAATAAGTTGTAAAATATAATTACATTTAATATATAAACTACAATTATAAAACTGTTCTCCAGGAAAATTATACCTGTGTTATCCAAGAATAAAAAGAAAATAGCTTCGTGTAAACTTTTTTTAAGGTATTTTTAACATTCTGAAAAAATATAAGTTATACGATTAGTATAAAGTATATTACCAAGGAGAATAGATTAACATCATAGAATATGATTATTACAATATTTAAAGAATGGTCTTCTTCAAAATATGTTCTTTTGGATATAGATATACTTTCAAATTCTGTATAGCCAAATTTTAATAGATGTTCATGAAGAGCGCTACCCTGCAATATAAATAAGATTAAATTATTTTAAAAATAATATTGGTTATTTTCCTTTATTTCTTAATTAATTGCAATTATACTTTATTCATTTGAATAAAAACTAACTTTTATTCATTTGAATATGTAAACTTCCAAATTTTGGGCTAAAATTTAAAAAATTCTACGATATATAATTATTATAATAATTAAGGCAGATAAGAACCAACGTAATTAAAGAAGTATGTATTTTAATGTCAATAATTTTTTCAAAACAGAATTTACATCATTAAACATTGAACATTTTGATCTTTTTTTTAAGCCATCTTCAGCTTTATTATCATCAATAAATCCATCAAATTGTCCAACTTGTTTTTTCAAAACTAGATCTACTATAACCAAAATATAACCAAACTATAACCAAAATATAAGAGAAGAGAGAAAGAAGAACTAAGTTCAATATCTTCGTTCACATACTTAGACCGGTACGCCTAGTCAGATTTTATATTTAAGATCATCTTAAATACTGTTTTAAGGTATCATGAATCAATCACAGAGCTGTATTCGCATCTTACAACATTACTTAAGACGGTCTTGAAATAAGATTCGAAACCAGTCAGACTATAGCTTACAAATAATGGATAAAGATATCTTCAGAGAGTGACTCTGAATATACGAATATGTTAAGGCTATTTATAAGACTTAAAGTACAGAGCAATGTACTATAAGAAATAACTACTATACTAATAACTACTATTGATCAAATATATACAGATTATTAAAAACTTGCTACAAATTAACAACAAAAGATAGAGAATCAAGTCAGGATAAGAAAGATGGAAAAAAGAAAAATAAGATAAAACATACATATATATTTGATTTTTTAGGCTTTCGCGGTATATTAGATCTGGTTTCCGGGATGCATCAGGTCGTTCCTCCCTTATAAAGCGGATGTTCGCAAAACGTCGGAATCAAACAAAGATGAATCCACGCGGCTCAAACCCAGAAACAAAATCTAATATACACACATATTCATTTGTTCATTCATATACTTTCGTATTCTTCCTCTCTTTCTTTATCTAACCTCTCATGTAAAATAATGATAATAAATTATGATAATGTAAACTGTGATAAAATGTAATATTATAATGTATACTATGATAAAATGTAGTATTATGATAAAGTAAAAATATATAATAAATATACTAATAATATATATAATAATAATAAATATACATAACCATACATGTCTTTTCTTATAATAGCAATATGGTTCTTCTAAAATTATATTTCACAAATATATATCTTTATAAAATATAATTATCGTACTTTTATTACGACATCTTCATCTTCTTCATCGATGTTGTTCACTTCCATCATTATTGTTTAATAAATTATAAATTAACACATATAAGAAATTAAGTGACATTTCATTTCACTATGTGCACTACAGCGCAATAGAAATATTCTTTTCGAGGTTAGGCGACAATTTCCCGACAAGTGAAGGTTATAATGCACTGAAATATATACTACTAGAGATATTGGCTTGGTTTATATCGTGCACTTGATATGCGTACTAAATAGTAACTTTCTATTAGATAATCTTAATATCGACGATATATATAAACAACGATATATTAAACTGATATAATACTCATCAAGAAAACATATTGTATTGATTAAACGCGTCGCCGTTGATATGCATTGTCAATATTAAGATTATCTAATAAAAAGTTACTATTTAGTACGCGTATCAAGTACACAATGGCGGGAGCGGTGCACTTGGACACGGTGCATTTGGACACAGCCAACCACAGCACCGTGTGATTAGAGACATTTGTAGGGTCCCTTGGAACAGCGACTTGTAATTGGACTGTGTCCAATTGCCCCGTGTCCAACTGATATACACCCCACAATGGCCGCGTCCCGTTTCACGCATATGCGCGCATTTATCTACAGTTCATGTTACGTATATTGTAGGAAATGTGCGTATAATACGTGAAACGGAACGCAACCAATGGCAATGGCCTGGTTTACATCGTGCACTTGATACGCGTACTAAACAGTAACTTTCTATTAGATAATCTAAATATCGGCGATATATATAAACAACGGTATATTAAGCTGCTATAATACTCATCAAGAAAACGTATTATATTGATTAAACGCGTCGCCGTTGACATGCATTGTCGATATTAAGATTATCTAATAGAAAGTTACTATTTAATATACGTATCAAGTGCACGATGTAAACCAAGCCATAATAAGATAGCGTGTTCGACTGGCCCTAGGTTAATCGCTCCGAGAGCGATTAATTACGTCATAAGTCTCTATTAGCCAATCATAAAACTTATAAGTATTTGTTTGACCAATAAACGTAGGCTGAATAACATAGAATGGGTTAACCCAGAGTCAGTCGAACATGCTAAAGGTGCGATTTCACGCAGCGAATAAAAACTGGCGTTTCACCCCACTCCATCAATTTTTACTGAAATGGCGAATGTAGCGAATAAACGCTCAAAGTTCGACACAGTCCAACTTTTAGCGAATAAAAACTGGCGTTTACCATCATTCCATTAATTATTGCTAAAAAGACGAATGAAGCAGATAAACGCTCAAAGTTCGACACAGTTCAACTTCTAGCAATTTAACTGGATCAAGTGATTGTAATTAATTAAGTGAATAAAATAGGCCATATAAATCCGATGAAAAATTTTTCATGCATAATTATATATAAAATTTGTCCGTACATAATTATGTATAATCATATAACATTATATATCATTATACAATTATGTATAACAATATGTATAATTACATATAAATCTATGTGTAATTATGTAAAATTACATATGAATTTATATATATAATTATACATGATTATATGATTAGTAGAATGCATGAACATGAATGGACAAATTTGATATATAATAATATATAATTATGTATAACTATATATAATTGTATATAATTATGTATGAAAAATTTTTCATTGGGAAAACAGCAAATTATAATAAAAACAAGAAATTATGGCTGAAGGGACTGATAAATTGACAGCGCCCGATAATACAAACAAAGTTAGTATATATTATATATAGTCAGCATATTTATATAGGTTATAACCTATAGGCTACTCTTTGTATCTTATTTATTTATATTAAATTGATTACCTTTTTCGTCATGCATTTTTTTCTTTTTTAACAAATACATTGCTGCAACTGCAGCAGCTATATGTCGTCTTCGAACTTCACCTATAATCGCCACTGTATATTTATAATATTTTATATACTCCATATCTCGATTATAACATTCCATTTTTATACTTATTGCAGTTTATACAGGAGGTTAAACGTGATGAATAGGATATGGGCGACAGCGAATAGCGTTATAACGTTGCTTTAAACTATGCTGAAATAGGGATAAAACGCTAGCTTTTATTCGCCCCATGAAAAGGATACAGGTGATAGCGAACAGCTTTTAAACGCTGCTTTGAACAACGATAGAGTGGAAACGCCAGCTTTTATTCACTGCATGAAATCGCACCTTAAGAGTTTGGCCATAAGATAGAATCTTCTGATTGGTCCGCTATTTTGACTATATAACCATGGACCGCTAGCGGCGATTCTAATAACATGTTCGACTGGCTCTGAGTTAACCCACTCTGGGTTATTCAGCCTACGTTTATTGGTCGAACAAGTACTTATAAGCTTTATGATTGGCTAGTAGAGACTTATGACATCATTAGTCGCTCTCGGAGAGATTAACCTAAGGCCAGTCGAACACGCTATAAGCGTCTGTCAACATCTGTAACGCCGCCAGGACCAACCAACGGCAAAAGAAGGAACTCAGAGCACAACAGAGTTAGTAAACGCTTCTAATATCCGCGTATCATATGGTGATACATATTGGAAAAACCTAATAGAAGTAATAAAAAGAATTAGACTTTCTTGAAAACCATAAATACTTTATAACAAAATTAATTATAGAAAATTATGTTAAAATTGTTATGAATTATGTATTGAATGAATTATGAAGGAAAATTAATGAGCCAAAAATGTCAATATATTAGACATAAATTGACAAAAATTATTTTATTGGAAGGACAATAATATACCATCATTTGGGGTAACTTTTATATCGCTGAAATGAAAATTCTACCTTTATTCGTTTAATGATGCCACATGTTTTTGTAAACTGTTGCAAATTGTTCAAAGTTACTCCGGTGTTCCAAGTTACCTCAAAGGACGGTATTTTAAATAATTGTAGCGAATTCTCTCAAATTATCGGAGAGAATAACGCTTACTGGATCGACCTCGCACGAGGTCCAGCGGCGTGAGGAAAGGGAGGCGAAATCGATTAGGAACTGATTTGTTCAAACTGATTTATTCACTTTATTTAACGCTCTCGATAACTTTACGCCGCGGCTATCTCGAGTAGATCATGAGTTGGAGCGGAAATCTTCTTAGAGTCGTAACTTCGGTCACACAACTACGACGGAAATCTTGTGGAGCATCCGACGGATGCCCGGCCGACGGAGATCTTGACGCGGTCGACGGAGATCTTGTATCGCGGTGACCCCTGACTCTTTCCCGAAATGATCGTCGAGATTCCGCGGCACTTTAGCGCAGGACAACACAAAAACCAAAATTACAATTTCCAGCGCGCGTGACGCTAATCGAATATACGGACAAAGTGTTCAAGGCAATACGGAAACGCCGCGATTAACGATGAAAAACGGCCAAGGCAGACACCGGTCGAAACAGCCGACGGCTATGAGAGCGGAGCAATCCGGAGCTGCGCGAGAGAGCGGTCGCCGACGGCGACCGGCGATTCAGAAATATGAAAATTGAAATTCCGCTAATTCGGAAATTCAAAGGAAAGCAAGACAGCGGCTTTGAGAATAAGAACTCGAACGTAGCTAACTCCGCGATACGATCTTACTATCAAGGCGAGAGATTGCTCCGACTCTTCCGATGTCTGGCTGTTAGCTAAGCGAATGCACGACTGTGTGGCCTTCTATAAAACGTGGCTAATTGCCGTGTGGAACAAGCCCGTTTCTCTTTATCTCTGGCACCCGCTGATTGGTCCAGCGCAAAAGGTGATCACTGGTCGCGTGCCGAAATTTCCTTAAAAGGAGATGTCTCACGCTATGTAGGGTTCCACGGCGCGTGCCGGCTTTCGATTCGCGGAAACACTGTTTATCCGCAGTTGCTATGACAACCGAAAGCGATCGGTGTTTATTCCGGCTTACCTGGCACGCGCCGCGGAACACCTAGGCACGTGGAAGGCACATGACGGTGCCGATCTCTCATCGCAACGAATCTCCGTTAGTTTTTTCGCTCGCATCGCGAACAATAATGTTTTAAAAAATGTTGTACGTTCTTTTTATAATATTACATATATATTATATAAACATTCTTTATATATTTTTTTTTATTCATATATTATATATCTCTTATTATATAAATATATTATATAAATATTACATATTCTTATGTAATATAATAAAGGTGCGACCTGATTGACCACGATACGATTGGACACAGATTGTAATGATTGGTTCGACCTAGTAATTCACTAGATAATTCTTTTCATCGGTTGGTTGTGTCCAATCGTACCGTGGTCAATCGGGACGCTCCCATATAATAAATACAAATTTGATATAAAGTTATATAAATATCTTATTTTGTGTTTTTATATTTTCCTTGCAGATTTTTTTTTTGTTATTTTAAAAATTGTTGACTTTTATATTATAGCAAAGTTGTATAACTTTTTTTTAATGTAATAATTTATTTGAAGAAAAAATGAAAAAGTCTGTTATTGACGATTAAAGAAATATCATAATAATTTTTCATTTATTTTAATGATAACTGCAATTTATGATCACGGACACACACAAAATATCTTTCACATGGTAAAATAGAAATCACAAGTATGTGATAGTTTACGTAATAGCCGTTGTTTGGTCCTGGCGGCGCTGCAGATGTTGACAGACGTTTTGCTGCAGACATAAGATAGCGGCTAGCGGTCCATGGTTATATAGTCAAAGATCCGCTATGTTTCGTCAAATCTCACATAGTATCCAATTCATTGAATAAAGAATACCAGGAAGGAGTATAGAAGAGAAAATCCTTTGTTAGCAGTGCGAAGAATGTAACATCATAAAACTGAACCAATTGCGATTATCGATACCATGAATTGAAGTTGTGACGTCATGTTGTCGAGAGCAAGCAGAAACTAATGAAAAAGAACAGGCAGATTGAGAGTGACAGATTGAGAGTGACAGATTGAAGAATATTTTACATTTTAATTGTTAAATAAGTATAAAATGGTTGTTTATGTGGTTTTGCAAAAACAAAAGGGCATGTGGAAACATTTCATACGTAAGTATATAACATATTCTATTTAAAATTGAATAAAATTAAAAGCATAATTTATAGGTTTACTTTGTTGTATCTTATGTACAACTTTGTTGTATAATGTTCAGCAGTTGTTTTAAGTTGTCTAAGTTAAAGTTGGATCGTTCTTTTAAATTTAGAGGAATAATCTAATTTCAACACAGATAATTTCAAATACTTGTAAAATAAACATTTTGCTGAAATGTAGTATATTATTATGTAAAATGGGATATGTAAAATTTTATTACATAATATATATGTATGTATATAAAATATTATATATGTATAATCGAAATTGACACAATGGAACTATATGTTCTCAGCTTTTTTTTTAATTTTTTAGATATAAAATGAATGGTAACCTTTGAGGTAGCTCTTTAAAGCCCAATGCAGGATATTAATGCAATCGGTGTTTTACAATATTAATTTTATTCCATAAGTTTCAGCCTCAATTTTTGGCCATTGTATTACACTGAAAATGGCCAAAAATTTAGGCTGAAACGTATGGAATAAAGTTAATATTGTAAAAAACCGATTGCATTAATATCCTTGGGCTTCAAAGAGCTATCTCAAGGGTTACCATTCATTCTATATCTAAAAAATTATATATAATGCATTTTAATGTAAATTAAAATATAAATGTTAATTATTAGTGATTTAATTATAATGTTATTTAATGTAGTTTCCCAAAACATCCAACAGCAAAAATGGATTGATTTTATGAATATGCCAAATTGGCAGGCACTACCAAACAGCAAATTATGCTCTAAGCACTTTAGTGCTGACTGCTTCGACAGACCCGGAAAAATCACTAAATTAATTAGTATGGCTGTTCCTACTATTAAGTTTGAAAGATTCGAATAGGTATGTAAGCATATATATTGTAATTATAATAGATATTCATAATATGTTATAAATTATAATATGAACTAATTCATTAATGAATATATATGTATTTTATAGATATAAAAACAGAAAAGAGCACACAAAATAATTATGCTTTCCGAAAAACCTATTACTGAAACTTATCCCAAGTAATGGTAAGTTTTATATACGATATAAAGCACATATATGTACAACATTCATAATCAGTTTTTTTTTTATTTTAATTTATTTCAAGTTGGAAATTAGATTTTAAAGTAAATGAATAACTTATATATATATATATATATATATATATATATATATATATATAT